CAGACCCCTTCGATCTTCATTCCTCCCTCTCTTCAACTAAATTCCCGATCAGCTCAGTTGTATATCTGTGGATGTCTGTCTCTGCTTCCATCAGTCACTGGATGAGGGCTCTAGGATGGCATAAAGAGTAGTCATCAATCTCATTTTAGGGGAAGGGCATTTAGGGTATCCTCTCCACCATTGCCTGGATTGTTAGATCGTGTCATCCTTGTAGATCTCTGGAGATCTACCTAGTTCCAGATCTCTTCTCAGACCTATAGTGGCTCCCTCTAATATGGTATCTCTCATCCTGCTCTCTCTCCTCTATTTTTCCCCCAACTCAATATTTCTGCTCCTCCATTTCCTCTCCTCTACTCCTCTTCTCTTGCTCTTATGGTGGCAGCTCCCTCTCCCCTACCCTCATGCTCCCAATTAGCTCAGGAGTTCATGCCACTTCCCATTCCTGGGGACCATTTATCCCTTAGAGTCCTTCATGTTTCCTAGTTTCTTTGGTGAAGAGGATTATAGGCTGGTAATCCTTTGCTCTATGTCTAAAATTTATATATGAGTGAGTACATACACAGTTTGTCTTTTTGTGACTGGGTTACCTCACTCAGGATGGGTTCTTCTAGTTCCATCCATTTGCCTGCAAAGTTCAAGATTCCATTGCTTTTTTCTGCTGAGTAGTACGCCATTGTATAAATTTATCACATTTTCTCTATCCATTCTTCAAGACAGGTTTCTCTGTGTAGCTTTGGAGCCTATCCTGGCACTTGCTCTGGAGACCAGGCTGGCCTCGAACTCACAGAGATCCACCTGCCTCTGCCTCCCGAGTGCTGGGAATAAAGGTGTGCAACACCAACACCTGGCTTCTTACTCAGAGTTTTAAAACGAGTCTTTTTTGTGCTTATTGGGGTGAACTCACATACATGCCTTAGAGCAAATAAATATAGAGGTCAGAGAACAACTTGCAAGAGTCAGTTCTCTCCTCCGTGTAATCCCAAAGGTGAAACTCAGGTAATCAGATTTGGTGACAGGCACCTTCCTGTGTGGAGCCATCCAGCTGGCTGTGGATGTTAGCATGTCAAATGTTATCTAGCTCTTTATGCAGATAAGCCTTTGCTAATTTTTTGTGAGGGTCACATTATTTATCTATATGAATGGCAGGTTCTCCAGCAAGTGGACAACAAGTTTATTGCCTGTTTAATGAGCACGAAAATGGAAGAGAATGGCAAAGCAGGTAAGCACGGGGTTTTGCTTCAGTTAATAATCTGACTGGTGTTCTGGGGGGATACTCCTGTTGTGAAATATGACAACTTGTGTGGCTTGAAATTATTGTAATTTCAGTGATTTAAGCAGATAAAGAGAAACTGACCTAAAGAATCTGAAACAAGTTTTAAAGTAATGAACTTTAAGTACACTGACAATACACATATAAGTCAGATACATACCAAGTTTTTGGTCTTATGAGATGTCGCCCAGGATTACCTCACTTCATGGTATCCTAATGCCTCAGCCTGACTGACTGCTGGAATTACAAGCCTACACCACACCACACCTGTGTCATTAAACTATTAATAGCAGTCACCTTGGAAATGAAAATGAATGTGGGCGAAGGGAGAATTTCATCTTCTGCTCCCTTAAAATATCTTATGTTGTAGAATTCTTACTGTTTTTTCTTTGAGAGAGAGTGTTTGTGTAGGCCAGAGATAACTTCAGGTGCCTTCCTCTAATACTTCCCACCCTATTTTTTTTTCTTTTTTCTTTCTCTCCATTTTTTATTTAAATTAGAAACAAGATTATTTTATAAGTCAATCCCAGTTCCCTCTCCCTCCTCTCTCCTGCCCCCTCCAACTAATACCCAGAAAAGGTATTCCATACCTTTTCTGCTCCTCAGGGAGAGTGAGGCCTTCCATAGGGTGTCTTCATAGTCTGTCATATCCTTTGGGCTAGGGCCTAGGCCAACCCCCTGTGTCTAGGCTCAGGGAGTATCCCTATATGTGGAATGGGCTCCCAAAATCCATTCCTATGCTAGGGATAAGTACTGATCTACTACAAAAGGCCCCATAGATTTCCGAGATCTCACTGACACCCACATTCAGGGGATCAGTCTCATGCTGGTTTCCCAGCTATCAGTCTGGGGACCAAGAGCTCCCCCTTGTTCAGGTCAGCTGTTTCTGTAGGTTTCACCAGCTTGGTCTTGATCCCTTTGCTTATCACTCCTCCTTCTCTGCAACTGGATTCCAGTTCAGTTCAGTGTTTAGCTGTGGGTGTCTGCTTCTACTTCAGTCAGCTGCTAGATGAAAGCTCTAGGATGGCATACAAGTTAGTCATCAATCTCATTATCAGGGGAGGGCATTTAAGGTAGCCTCTCCTCTGTTGCTTAGATTGTTAATTGGTGTCATCATTGTAGATCTACAGACATTTCCCTAGCGCCTGATTTCTCTTTAAACTTATAATGGCTCCCTGTATTATGGTATCTCTTATCTGGCTCTCTTCTATTCTTCCCCCAACTCAACCTTCCTGCTCCCTCCTGCCCTCCTCTCCCCTCTTCTCATATTCCTAGCTCCCTCTCCCCTCCCTTCATGTTCCCAATTTGCTCAGGAAATCTTGTCCCTTTTCCCTTCTCCTGGGGACCATGTATGTCTCTCTTAGAGTCCTCCTTGTTTCCTAGCTTCTCTGGTGGTGTGGATTATGGGCTGGTAATCCTTTACTCTATGTCTAAAATCCATATCTGAGTGAGTACATACCATGTTTGCCTTTTTGTGACTGCCCACCCTACTTTTTTTAAGACAAGGCTTCTTATAAACCCAGAGACTACTGTTTCTGCTGGACTGGTTATCCAGCAACACCCCTGCCTCATCTGCCTGTCTCTACCATCCCCATAGTTGCAGCTACAGGTGTGGACAGCCACACTCAGGTTTTTATGTAGATGCCAGGAATCCAAACTCACATCTTCATGCTTGCACAGCAAGTATTTATTTTTCCCCTGAGCTCCCCAACCTCCTCCTTTATGACTGTGTGTATACACACGGGTGCTCATCTATACATATCAACTCTAAAAGATAATCTTGGGCTGGGTAGTGGTGACACACGCCTTTAATCCCAGCACTTGACAGGCAGAGGCAAGTGGATTTCTGTGAGTTCGAGGCCAGCCTGATCTACAGAGAGATCCAGGACAGTCTCCAAAACAGAGAAACTTTGTCTTGAAAAACAAAACAAAACAAAAAAGATAACCTTGGGTGTCATGTTCAGGAATGCCATCCATCTCCTTTGAGACAGGATTTTTAATTTGCCTGGAGATCACCAATTAGGCTAGACTGGCTGGCCAGTGAACTCCAAGGGTCTTGTCTTCCCCTCTCCAGTTTTGAGATTACAAGTGTGCACCATCTACCAGACATTTTTATGTGGATTCTAAGGATCTAACTCAAGTCCTCATGCTTAGCCCATCCCCCCAGCTTCTTTTACAGTGTTTTCATCAATAGTAACAAGTTTATGTAAGTGTATACAATGTGTTCTGCTAGGTTTGTCAAGAGTTACACAGAATCAGGAGGCTGAAGACATGACTCAGTGGTTAAGAGCACTGGCTTCTCTTCCAGAGGACCTGGGTTCAATTCTCAGCATCCACATGGTGGCTTGCAGCTATCTGTAACTCCAGTCCTAGGGCATCTGACACTGTCTCTTGGCCTCTCAAGCACCAGGCATGCATGTGGTGCACAGAAGTATATAGTCAGGCAAAACACTCATACACATAAACTTTAAAAAATTATACAGAATCAGGTAGTGACTTGCTTTAATGAAACAATAGTTCCTACATAAATCACTCCACAAATATTGTTTGCCTGTTATTTTCTAGGGACTGTACCAGGCCCTCAGGGTACAATGATAAGAGAAAGTAGATATGTCAGAGAAATAGATAATCATACAAAGACATAATGTTTTAATGTAGCTCTTAGGAAGATGTTGTAAGAACTGATACTGGGAGGTTTGATTTTGTCAGGGAGGTCAGCAGATGGTTCTTGGTAAAAATGAGTCTGAAGTATGAACATGTCAAATAAGGTAGTGAATAGGTAAGTTGTAATTTCCTCTTTGTCAGGTGACAGTAGGGCAGTGAGGATGGCGATAAAGCTGGGAAGGAAGTAGTAGCCAGGTGTTAAATGTCTGTTCGAAGCTTTGCTCTGTCGTGACACTAGCTGCAAACAATTGGATGTTTCCTGTTCTTTGTTTGGCTTGGGAATGCTATATGTCATATCATGTTGCGTTTTAGAAGGTCTTTTCTAGTTGCAATTTGGAGAATGGACTGACTTCCGGTGGAGTTCTGGGGACTCCACAGAGACAGTTAAGAAGATAATTGCAGCAACTAAGAAATAAATATTGGTTAACTAGGCTCATGGTAGACTAAGGAGAAGTGAAAGCCTTAGGACTGAGTGCAGTGTCCTATGCATGTAATCCAGTACTCAGTACTCAGAAGATCAAGGCAGGATGGCTGACACTGGTGCAAGCCTAGATAATATAGCCTGGGCTACCACGTGTGTCCTCACCGCCAGTAAAACAAACAGAGAAATGTAGATGCATTGGGAAAGCAGGACATAAAAGTCAACAGGGCTTGGTGATGGATTGTTATGTGAGAGGTGTATCAAGGGTAACTCCTAGTTTTCTGACCTCCATGGCCAAGTGGATGATGTTGCAAGACCAGATTAGAGGTGGAGCAGGTTGGGAGGATAAAAATCACAAGTTTAGTCTAAATTCTCTTTGAAATGTTCAAGAGGAGACAGCAGGAATGTGTTTGGCTAGTGCAGGTGTGGACCAGAGTGTTCTGACCTGGTGATATAAATTTGGTTGACAGCATAAAGTTGGTTATTGATGGTGTAAATTTTATCACCTAGAAATGTGAGGAGTGAGGAGAAGCCCTGAACGTAGAATAATTCAGCCATGTAACAGCTGAATAGGAAGGCAGACCAGTAGAAGAGGAGAAGGAATCACTAGAGAAACAGGGAAATAGAAGGTTGTCATAGCCACGACCTCACACGAGCTGCTGCTGTGTTGTTTGCTAAGGGGAGGCCTGTTTGGTTTTGTGACAGTGGAGACATTGACACCGAGAGCTGTCTGGAAGAGCTGGGGCTGAAGCCATTGTTGCCCATGGGGACTGCAAAGAAAGACTCAGAAATCTGAGACCTGGGAGGGAGCGACCAGCAGAGAGTGAGGAGACTTTGTTTGATGAGGATTTTGGGTGCAGTTGCAGTTGTCTGCCTGTGTCTGTGGCCTTGTAGTGCTCAGTTTCAGTTACCCACAGTCAACCAAGGTCAGAATATTATGTGGAAAATTCCAGAAATAAGCAACTGGTAAGTCTTAAGTTTCACACTGCTGTATGAGCAGTATGATGCAATTTCGTATCATCTCACTGTGGTCCACCCAAGCTGCAAATGACTCCAGTGTATCCATGCTATATACCCTAGTTGCCCGCCACTCAGTAGCTGCGTGCATTACCAAATTAACTGTAAGTATTACATTATGTTCAAAGGAACCTTATTATATTTAATAATGGTACAAATACAATAAAAATGATGTTAGCACTTTTATTCCAGCACATTGTTATAAGTGTATTTTTTATTTTTTCAGTGCTAAGCATGCTACACAAGTAGTCTATCACTGAGCCACACCCCCAGCCCTGTTCTATTATTAGTTATTGTGAATTTCTTACTGTACCTAACTTATAAATCCAACTTTATCATTGATTTAAAAAAAAAAAAAAAAAAAAAGACTGTTCAGGGTTTGGTACAGGAGTTGGTTCTCGCCTTTTACCATGTGGTCCTGGGGATTGAACTCAGATCTTCAGGCTTGGAAACAAATACCTGTATGTGCTGACCCTTCTCTCTAGCCCTGAAGTTTTGCTTACTTGAAATTCTGATATTTTTGAGATACCCAAATCTCAACCAGTGGCACCCAAGAAGGGTGTAAGCACAAAATCAGTATCTTCAAAGAAACAAAAGAGGCCACTAGTTAAACTTCTCTTGAGAGTTTATATTTATTTTGGATTTACTACCAAAGAGTATTCTTCATATTCTTTTCAAAAGCAAAACCAGAGTCAGGCATGGTGACGCACGCATTTAATCCCAGCACTCAGGAGGTAGAGGCAGGCGGATCTCTTAAGTTTGCTGCCTGCCTGGTCTACAGAGCAAGTTCTAGGACAGCCAGGGCTACCCTGAGAAACTCTGTCTCAAAAGAAAAACAATAAAACAAAAGCAGAAGCAAAACCAAAATGCAAGAATGTTCTTGAGGCTGAGGATGTGGCTCCGTTGGTAGAGAGCTTGCCTATCATGGGTGAAACCCTGGGTTCAGTCCCCCAGCACTGCATCAAACTGAGCGTAGTGATATACTCCTGGAAGTCCAGACTAGGGCTGGGAAGATAGAGGTAGAGCCCTCCTCAGCTAAGTAGCAAGTTCAAGGCTAGCCTGGGTTATATGAGTCCCTGTCAAAAACACAGTTAAACCCATTCCTCTGAACCAAATGTGAGTTATAAATATGTAATATTCCTGAATTGACTTATTTTTATTTTGCTTGCTTGTTTTTGTTTTTCTTGAGGCTTTTTTGTTGTTTTGGTTTTTGGTTTTTTGAGTCTGGGTTTCTCTGTGTAGTCCTGGATGTCTTGGAACTCACTCTGTAGACCAGGCTGGCCTTGAACTCATAGAGATTACATGCTCCCGCCCCCGCCCCCGCCGCCACCACCACCACCACACAGCATTGTGTTTTGTTTTTTAGGCAGGTTCTTATCATGTAGCCATGGCTGGCCTGGAACTCTCTATGTAGACTAGGCTGTCTTTGAACTCACAGAGATCCTTGTTCCTCCTGAGTGCCAGGGTGAAAGATGTGTACCATGACTCCCAGCTTGATATTGACATTTTTATTGGACACATGCATTATTGTTTTAAAGTGTTTTATAGTGAAACTAATGTCATATGTTGGCATTTTAGGTTATATATTTCTGCCTAATAGGATACATTTGTTCAGTTATGATATTCTAAAGAATAAATTTATTCTATAAATATTTATCAAGTATCTATTATGTAGAATTCTGTTTTATGTGCTTAGGACTATAACATGAAAATATCTGTTGTCACAGAACTTCTATTCTTTCCTGTTGGAATATCAAAAACATGTTTTTTATGAAATAAATTGTCTTCTGCTTCATTCAAGAAATGAAAAGTTCATAAGCATCATATATACAAGGGAAAGATAAGCCGTTCTTCCAGTCAGTACAGGTTGGATTTCAGAGTGTTCTAAGTTTGGTAATTTGTGTTGGTCATTAAGGCCACTCCCTCACAGGGTCTGGTTTGTTCCATTGTTTTGCCCAATGCCAGATGTTCAGTGTTCATCAGAAACAGCTGCCACTCTTGCTAGCCTCAAAGAAAGCTAATAGTCAACATGGGGGACACTCCTGTGTTATACTTGCTGTCAGAAGTCTGCTTTGGGGCCTGGGGAGGCTCAGTCAGTAAAGAGTTTGCCTCACAAGCAACAGAACCTGGATTCAAGGCCCAGAAAAGCTCTGGTGTATGTGTTCTTGATCGAAATACATTGTATAAGTATATGAAGTTCTCAAAGAGTGATAAAAACTTTTTAAGATACTATGTTAGAATATGGGTAAGTAAATAAGGAAACAAAATCCCAAATCCACATCCTTTGTCTATTCTTTAATTTTAAATACATTCTAATATATATCATAAAAAATCTTAAAATGTAATTAGAACAAATTAAAACAAAGGGTATGACACATATTCACTTTCGTTTGTTTTCTAACCTGAAAATAATTAATACAGTTAATTAATTAATATTAAGAAGTAATTTAAAAAGCTGGGTTGCTGGCATGTGCTTAGAGGCATAGAGACAGGTGGGTCCCTGGGGCACACAGGCCAGCAAGACTAGTTGTTGATGAGCTCCAAACTAGTAACAGTCCCTTCTCAGAGAAGATGAGTGGTGTAAGAAACAACACTTGTCCCCTCTCCCTCTCTCTCCCTCTCTCTCTCCCTCTCTCTCCCCCCTCTCTCTCCCTCTCTCCCCCCTCTC